TGTGTGAGCATTCTTGCATGTGACTTCTATGGAACAATTGCATGTATTTTCTGTTGGGTATATATTTAGGAGGAGATTTCCTGAGTCATAGGGGACGTGTATGTTCAGCTTTAGTAGATACAACCAATTTTCCAAAGTGGTTCCAATGTACACCCTACCAGCAGTATGTGAGTACTCCACATTCTTAACCAGCACTTGGTGTTTTTCTCTTTTTCATCTTATGTGTTGGCATAATGTTGTGGTTTTAATTTTCATTTCTTTGATGATTAATAATGTTCGGTACCTGTTCACATGCTTAATCGCCATTTGGATATCTCCTTTTGTGAGGTGCCTGTTCGTCTTTTTCTACTCTTTTGTTGGGTTGTCTTTTTCTTACTGACTTGCAATCATTTCTTATCTATTTTAAATGAGTCTTTTGGAAATAATATATCACAGACATCTTCTATTTGGCGTGCTTTTTTTTCCCCAAGTGTAATTTACATACCATGAAATGCTACAATCTTCAGAGTGTATACATTTTATCAAGACAGAACATTTCCATCACCTAGAGAGTTCCCTTGTACCCCTTCCCAGTCAGTACACCCCCCCCCAAAGCAACCACTCATCTGATTTCTATGACCATGGATTAGTTTTGCCTACTCTAGAATTCTATATAAATTATTTCCTATGGTATATCTTTTTTGTGTTCCGCTTTTCCACTTAGCATATTTTTTCAGATTCATCCATCTTTTTGCATCTATCAGTACTCATTCTTTTTCATTGCTGAGTAGTATTTTATTTATTCACTAGAGGCCCAGTGCACGAAATTCGTGCAAGAGTAGGCCTTCCTTCCCCTGACTGCTGGCACCGGCTTCCCTCCAGCACCTGGGACCGGGCTTCCCTCACAGCCCTGGCTTCGTCCGGAAGGATGTCTGGTCTAATTAGCATATTATACTTTTATTATTATAGACTCTCATGTTGTGGGCATCTGAACAGAATTGTTACCAATTTTTGATTATTAATAAAGCTGCTAGAACATTCTTGTACAAGGTTTTTTATGGATGTAGCATTTACCTTTTAAAAATTCATTAACTACTTTTTGTTTAATCACACTAAATTTTTAGTTTGTTCTCTAAGTAGTCCAAATATATGAAAGCCTGAATTTATGCAAAAGATAAATGATTTATTTCCTAAAAGAAATTTTTAGAAGAAATTTACTGTAGGATTTCATTAATTAGCTTCCCTAGTAGTTTGAGTCATATTACAAACAACCTACTGAGAATATCAGTTACTCTACTCATTTGGAGTTTAATTCATATGGATTATTCCCTCTTCCTCACTTGTGTGAACATATATAATTGGCTTTACTGTAGTTATTTACAGTTACACTAATAGGGATCTTGTCTTTTGGAGGAAGAAAATTATTTGGTCAAATGTATTAGCCTCTCTCTCAGCCCTGTTTAGGAACTTGAGTTTTGAACAGTGTAAATACTCCTTTATTGGGGGCATGTGAACATTCTAAAAACAGAAAGCTTACAAGGGTTACAAAGTACAGTGATAAGAAAAATAATTTTGTGCTAAATATCACATTGGAGGTGTGTGTGATAAGAATATGGTGATGTTAAGTAAAAAACAGCATTGCTGAACTCCTCCACCCGAATGCCTATGATGTTACTTTCTATAAATACTTTTTGAAACATGAGAGCTTTGATCCTGTTGCCAAAATAATGTGAGATCCTATAAATTTTCTAATTATAAATGACAGTAGTTTAATTTTATTCTACTGCCCCTTCTGTCCCACCCCCAATAAAAAAAATGGTGTGACTAGATCACTAGAAGTCACAGTATTGAATTACAGCACATACCATTTCTCCTTATTGTGGGGAAAACTACTGTTGCTCTTCCCCTGGAGAACTGGTGCCAAGTCCAAGCAGGCTGCTTTCTTTTATTCTGTGCCAGACCAAATGATCAAACTCACCTGTCAAAAGCAAGTCTAGTCAAAAGTGGAAGTTCTTTTTCTCAAATGGGGCATAAAGTTTATTTTTTTTAAGCCAGTTATTTAGAAAAAGCTCTCAGGAGAGATCAGGAATTTGGAATTCAGTTTTGCATCTCTTGCTCAAAGGCTAACAGGATTACTTGCTGTATGATGAGCATTTTAATATTGATTATACAATGCACATGTAAGTATATGCCAACTGCAATCATAAAGATTTTTGCTTTAATTTCTGACAAAAGTGTCTAATTTTGGAGAGATAGTAATTACAAATAGAGTTCTTTGCAACAGCTCTATTTTGCACATTTAAAAATTCAGAATCTACCTTTAGGTGGCAGCACCAGATACTTTTTCCGGTTGTCTCACTACAGCCTTAATGAGTTATGTATAAGCAGGGAAACTTTCAAGTCTCCCAAAACTTCAAAATAAGCTGTTTATTGCCAATTTTGTGAGGATTTAGAAAAATTATGTTGAATAAGTTGGGGGCTTGTTTAAGCCTGGATTTTGACCTTAAAGAATATTCTGACAGCAGTGATCTTTACTTTTTAACATGACATTGTATGTTTTCTTAAAAAGATTTCATTTAGCCCTCTGTGATTTGCCTGTTGAACTTATAATTGTCCTCCCAAGAAAATAATTTTATGACATTTTTGTATTCAAGTGACTTGTACAAGGATCATTATATACCTAATATTTTAAGGTAATTAGTGTCTTTTCCCTTTATATATTAAAAGGTTAACATTGACTTATGACCATGAGTACTGGGATGAAAAAGTCCCTTCTCTTGAAAAAATCAGCTTGGGAATAAATTTGAAGTAATTAGCTAGGCCAGCTGGCTTTGTTGTTTCCAGGGGCAGATAAGTGTTGTTTGTGGAAATGGATGTTTAAAGTAGACATTTCATAAGGCCTGATTTTTAAAATAACTTTGTCCCCTTGTTGGGCTTTTCTCCATAACAAGCAAGGTAGCCTATGTCCAGCTTTGGCTTACTCAGCAGGCAGCCTGGCCCGGGCCTCCCATGCACTAAGTAGACCTGGCTGGTACTGGAGAAAGCTTTCGTTGCTCCCCTGTCACAGCCTGGCCAGTTCTGTACATGTGCAAAGCTAGGGTGGTTCCGTTCCTTGATTTTCAGATTGTAAAATATCTTACCTTTTAGAAAATCCCTGCTTATTGTTTTTCTTTTTCCTTACTTTCTGAGTAATAGTCTGGGAAATTGATGAATAATGATGTCATCAGAAAAAAGATGAAGCTGCATCTTCATAAAGCAAGACATTATGTGAATACAGTTGGATTCATAACTAGAGTTTAAGAAATTCGCAAGTTGCCCTTCACTACAGAGACAAATTGGCATCATTCAATGGGCATGGTCTCTCTCACTCAAGTCCTCTACCCCTCCCTCACACCTCACTAATTTGCTATTTCTCTTACTGGATTGCTAACTTGTAAAATAAAAATGTACAGTGAGTCTTGGGGCCAAGTGACTTATGTTACAGTAATTTATGTCACACACCAAGAACAATTTTGTCAAGTTGTTTTTGAATGTGTATTTTTTTGTTCTTATTATGCACTATCATGTTAGAAAATATTCACTTTGATGAATTCCTACAAAGAGCAGCTATTAACTGGCTGTGCAGCATGAACATGTGTTTCATTTTGAGTGAACATAGTCCAAAATAAATGATGTTCATCCACTCTTTACTTTTTTTATCTTTATGACATTTATTGAGTATTTATTTATATAGGCCCCATTTAAAACAGTTTGTCCTCTAATGTCTTATTTAAACTGCAAAAGTTCATGGTTGGTGGTACTACATCCATTTTGCAGGTGAGCAAGCTGAGACTCCAAGCTTATTCTTTGTTTAGCACCTTCCACTGTGTCAGAGTTAACCTTATGTAATGACTAGATGTCACTTGACAATTGACCAAATAGGATTTAGCATCTTGTCACTGAATTTTGAAAACATCCGTTAGATTATCTACCAATGCAGCTGTTGATAGAGTCAAAACAATTTTTAGATATTTTTGGTATTTGAACTTTTTGCTTAGTGATGTTTTATGTTACTTATTTACCTTTATACTAAAATAGCTATGCTTGTTTTCCTTAGATTTCTAAATAGCCTAGAATTGTTAGGTATTGCTAAGGGGTGCTTTAAAGAAAAGATTATAAGATATAGTGTAGAATAATTATCTTGAAGTTTCAATTCAAATAGTGAATTTTTGAGAGATATGCTTTGACCAAGGGTATATTAAATTGGCTGACCTTAAAATGTTTATTTTCTCAAATAGTTTGGGCAAACAAGATAGCATAAACTATACATCAATTGATTTATTGGGTCATTTTGATTGAAATATGGAAGGTATATTTGGTTCCAGGATTGTTGGGGACATTTTGGCCTATAGAATCTGTAGAATCATTTTTTTGCACATATTTTATACTTCTGAATTCAGAATACCAAAAAAACCATGTCACGTTTTGTCTTATATGCTGCTACTGAATTTTAACCACTGGATTAGATTGCAACCTACATGCTGTTAACTACTGAGCCAAGATGGAATCGACCACTGCATTGAAATCAGGATTAGCAATTGTGTCTGCACTTGAAGGAGTTGTAATAGCAGTGAACTTGTTTTCTTTAATGGGATTTTTATTCTCTATTTTCAGTTTTAATGATGATTCTTTGATTTTAAGAGATTTTCTTAACAGCAGTGCAAATTTATTTGAGATTTTCTTTATAACTTTAGGAAAATACTAAAACCATCCTGTAGAAGTAATTAGTTGCTTCCAAATCCAAATGTCCACTAGCATATATCTGCATTGTTTTAATGCTGTTTACTTGTTTTATTTATAATCACTTATAAAAAGAGCCCTTTGTCCATGTGATATGAGACTCTATCTTGAGTTCAAATGATTGTGTGTGTGAATTTAAAATTATTCTTTTGTGAGTTTTTTTCCTTGGGCTTATTTTTTTGGGTAAGGGAATTCAAAGAATTGTACCTTTCTAAATGTGTTTTTTTCTTTTGCATTAATAGGACTTGATCCCACCCAGTTTAGAGTTCATCATTATCATAAAGATGAAGAGAATGATGTTCTACTTGGTGGCCCAGCACAGCTCAGCGATGAAGAGAAATACAGGGACTGTGAGAGATTCAAATGCCCATGCCCTGCGTGTGGGACTGAGAATATTTACGATAGTGTCTTCGAGGGTTCGGTTAGTTGTTTCTTTTTTCATTTTGTGAGCAAATTAATATAAAGGCCTTTCCCCCCCACTATTTGTCTAAAAAGGAAGAAACACATTGCTTTTATGTGTTTAATATTGTTTTTGGCTTCTTAGAGTGTTTGGCCTTGGTTTCTAAATGGAACCTCTTAAAAGATCTAATTATCTTAAAGTATTTTTATTGTAATTCCTTAATTAGTAACCTATATTTCCCCACTCCCAACCCAATTTATTAAGACTTAGAGCAATATTTTTCTGTATCTTAAATCAAGTTAATGGGAACTAAGTGTTTTTGGAAAGTTTTTTGTTTATCTTTACACATCCCACTTGCCTCCTTTTTGACAAAGGTACTCCGATTATCGTTTCTGCTGTCTTTGCATGTCAGACATTTAAAAAGTCACGGAGACATTCCTTTCAAGAAGTACTGCCAAAAAATGTATCATTGACCTTGGATCAGAACTTGAAATGTGGCCAATTTACTTGATTCTACTGCAGTGTTATATGTACTGGCTATTGGCAAATGAGTAGGCAGTAGAACCATGTAAAACCTTGAAACCGAAAGAAAATGCATCCTTTATCTAAATTAAAAGTAATTATTTTAAGTTAATTTGGACAAACAGCAGATGTTTTGAATTTTTTTGAATCAAAACAAAGCGGTCTTTGGAAGCAAGTGCAAGGAAGAGGCAGACGCAGATCAGCAATACATGCTAAATCCTTGAGTTTTGCTTCATTACAGCTGTAAATAAGATAGTTAATTGCATGGAGGCTTGACAACTTGCAGATGGGCTAACTGTGGAAGAGCCGATGTCAAGCTCTGAAATCTCTTCCACCTGGAATTGCTTAGTGTGGTGGGTAGGGTTATGTACCAGATTGGAGCAGGAAACCAAGATGTTTAAGTATCAAGAAGGAAAACACATGGTCCAGAAACCCCAACAGTTTCCCTATATGTTTGCTTTGTCTCTGCTTAAAACAAAACAACAAGACATTTTCTCCAAATACTAATAGTTAATTCTTGCAAGTTTCTACTTCTCCTGCTTTCCCTCCCCCAAATACGTTTTAAGGGGGTTAGGAATTTTAGATTTTCTAAGCTGACAAAGCCTGATTGCTTTGTGGTATAACACTTAAATTTTAGGCTTTATTAAGTTGACGATATGAAAGCAAACTAATGTCATTAGCACACTTGCTTTATCCTCAAGTTTGTAATGAATAAGGGCAAATTTAAAATTTTGATATGTCTAAAGAGAATGTTTATTTCCAATAATGTCACTTCACTGGTATTTTCACAGGGAAAACTCATTTATCCAGAGAGTCTGTCATTTATTGAATGTTTAAAAAAAAAGTGATAGTAGGATTTTCCCTTTGACTTCATGCTCCATTATGATGGTGGCAAAAGAGTGGAAGTTATATGTGACTAAGGAGATCTTTGGGAGGAAAGCATTTGAGGAAATAGGGTTAAATTAAGACTATTGTACACCAGGACAGCATATAAGCTTTTAAGCACAAGAAATCTTTTTATAATCTTTTGTGTACTTGTCTGACTTGAATTCTATAGGGAACTGATCTGGAGCCCAGCTTGTTTCGTTGCAGTAACATCAACTGTAAAGCTTCACCTATGAACTTTATTGTACAGCTGAGCAACAAATTGATCTTGGATATTAGACGTTGCATTAAGAAATACTATGAGGTTAGTATCCATAATGACTTTCTTATATACACAGCTTATTTAAGTTTGGAACTTGTTATAAAATAAAACAATGTAGTTTTGTATTACTGTTTTTTTATGAAACTAAAATTTTTTAAAGACTTGAGAGGAAAATGGTTTGATTTTCTATTGGGTATTACATCTCTTTCATTAATGAGTAATATTTTAAATAGTGAAATTTTTGCTTTTAAGGAAAAATGAGAATATAACCAGGACTTTTAAAAATTTATTGTTACCTAAATAAGACCACATTAAACGGTCACTCACATCTTTGGACAAAGGAGGAGAAATCAGTATTGGTTATCTTTGGCAAGTAGAGCCATAACATCATGTGTGATGTTTTTAATAAGTTAAAACTTTGTGCTTATGTGGTAATCGAAACCATTTCATAGCCTAGTTGTCCCAGGAAATAAAACTAAATATCTTTTCAATTTAAATGCAATTTGTCTGGCTTTTTAAAGAGAATGTCTAATTTTTAAAATACATAGTATAGTTAAAATACCAGAACAGTAAGTGATCTGTCTGTGTTAGAAAGGCTTTTTTCACAGTTTTTATTTTGTTTTGTTTTTAACAATTTCATATGAATGAGTTCTTTTCTCTTCAAAAATTAAAATTAAAAAATTCACATTTACCATTTGATTTTTCATAGTGTTTCATTATATTATTTGTCATCTAAGCAAAATTGTTATTACTTGAAAGTTCACTAACTTATTTAAAGAAACTACATTGGCAAGGCATTTCCAAAAATGCCCAGATTCTATTAGGTAAGGCCATGACTTTGTTCAATATCTTCCTATAATGTCTACTTTTATGCTAATTAACATAGCATTTTCTTATTTAAAATGGATCTCATTAAATGAAAACTGAGTATTAGATCATTAGGACAAAGAATGAAAATATAGAGTTCTAGTATTGTGATTTTGGAGTTGAATAACTTGTATTTGTCAAAAAAAAAGGTTTGTCTGAAGATATTTTTAAAATAATAATTAAGACTACATTTTGGGAAATCTGAAACATTTTAGTGAATAATGCTATGCTGTACTTAATGAACAGTTGGATGGGAATAAAGGGTATCTGTAGGTTCACATTCCACAGTAGATGAAGTGCTCCGCACATGAAATGTTAGGGTTTTATTTAAGCATGAAAAGCCCAAATCAAAACTATTCATCTCCTCATTTACAAACCTCACGGAGTAGAGCATGATTCTTGACTCTTGTGAAGAATTCCAAATTTTCTCTCTGTGTTTAGTCTATCAAAATCTTCACCATGGAAATGTTAATACTAGAAGAAACTCATCTATTTCCTTCTATAAGAAGGGATGATCTGTTTTGACTAAGTTGGGAATAGGCAGAAAAATGATCTTTGTAGTTAGAAATATGCCCTAACTGAAAGATGGATTTCTAACCCAGTTGTTTGTGTGTCGTGGTGGTGTTGGTAGTAGTAGTTATATGAGTATTTTTTAAGCTAAATAACCTAGTTTTATGAATCTAGACATCCAACCCAGGGTTTCTATAGCATTTGCTTCCATTGTCTTCTCTGCCAGTCATCTCACTACCAGCAAGTAACAGTTTTCCTGTGGTTACTGCCCACTTGGTTAATTTTCCTAAGGGATTTCTTATGAAAATATCTAAATGTCGCTCTTAAAGTTGAAGATTGATATGACTATCCTCAAAATTAGGGACCTGTATCTCTACTGTCTGATCTTAGTCATATATGATTAGATGGGAGAGGAAGAAATCCATTATTCTTTTCATGGCCCCATGGTGAATAAATGTTTCAAATATTGTCAAGATCAGAGCTTTTATACAGAGAGCTCATGCACCTCTAGCTAGGTTCTACTTCATTGGTAGACTATTCTCTTTCCTCCTCACCCCAGACTTAAAAGAACTTTCGCAGGTAGAGGGACATGGCATTGAGTTTCTTTTGTATTGTGCCTCAAGTGATAGTCATAACAGTTCATTCAGGGTGATGTACCATAGTGGTGGTAGTCCAGCTGGAGATTAATACATCAAGTATACTGGAGACAAGGATATTGATAGTAAGTACAGGCATACCATGTTTTATTGCACTTGTTTTATTGTACTCCACCAATGTTGTGTGTTTTTTACATATTGAAGCCAAGACCCTCTATCAGCAGAAAGATTACACTCATTTTATTCCAATACTCTCTCTTGTTTGGGGGGGTTGTCAAATAATCTTTAATTGAAACATTTTCCTTTGTAGTTCTTAACATGTTAAGCGCCATGCCACTCACCGGTGACTGACACTATACTCTCCGTTTGGAAGACAAAACAGGCTGGGCGCTTAACGTGTTAACTAGCCAGACATTCCACTGCACCTCTGTTGATATCATCTATGATGTTATGAGTGTGTCGGCCATCAACATTGCAGCTCACAGACTGGGCAGTCCCCAGGATCTGTTTAATGGTTCCAGAGAGTTCTCTAGCTAAAGATCAGTGCCACATCTGTCAGGCAATGCTGACAATCTCATCAAAAGTGGTATTTCTTTTTTTAAAAAAATATATTTTATTGATTTTTTACAGAGAGGAAGGAAGAGGGATAGAGAGTTAGAAACATCGATGAGAGAGAAGCATCGATCAGCTGCCTCCTGCACACCCCCTACTGGGGATGTGCCTGCAACCAAGGTACATGCCCTTGACCGGAATCGAACCTGGGACCCTTGAGTCCGCAGGCTGATGCTCTATCCACTGAGCCAAACCGGTTAGGGCCAAAAGTGGTATTTCCTCTGTGCTTAATGTTTTTTTTATTGTTGTTGTTTTATATTTTTTTTGCTTCTTTCTGTCTCTTGGTGGTTCTTTGAGGGCTTTGATGATCAGGGCAGAGGCAGAAGGCACTACCTCAATCTGGGCCTGTCTGTTCTGAATGGTCAGTTTCACTGTAGTCCTCAGACCCTTCCAATCACCAGTCGCTTTGGCAATGTCATCACCAACCGTTTTTGGAGACAGACCCAGGGGACCGATCTTGGGGGCCAGGGCAGACATGGCACCTACTTCCCCACCAGTGCACCTCAGGTATACGACTTTGATTTCGTTGGAGTTGAACTTCGGCGGCATGGTGGAGGCGGCTGGTGTTGGATGAACCCAGATTTGGGACGACCGAAGAAAATTGCACCTGAGCCTCCTCCAAGCCGAAAGTCAAAAGCCCAATACTGTCTTGAACCCACAGTATCTCTGAGGTATGCCTATACTGAGATTAAGTGACTGTTCTCAGAAGCTAATAACCAAAGGGGTTTCCTCCTATTTTGCAAGTTCAAAAATATTACCCACTGGACATAAACGTTATTAGTGGATTAAGAGCAAGTCTCAATATATTTTTTTCATTTTAGTCTTAGAATCACTGCAGGGAAAGTACAATCTACACTGAGAAAGGAAGGCATCTCCATAAAGAAGGAACTTTAGGCCTGGCCGGTGTGGCTCAGTGGTTGAGTATTGACCTATTAACCGGTTCAATTCTGGGCACATGCCCAGATTGTGGGCTCGATCCCCAGTGAGGGGCATGCAGGAAGCATCTGATCATTGATTCTCTCTCCTCATTGATGTTTATCTCTCTCTTTCTCCCTCTCCCTTCCTCTCTGAAATTAATAAAAAAAAAATTTTTTTTTAAAAAGAAGGAACTTTAGGAAGACAGTGGAGGAGTAGGTACTTGACCAAACACTGTAACCTGCAAAGAAACAGTTCTTGATTACCAATAAATTGAATTGTCAGGAACAAAGGAACAGAAGTTCAGGGTAACAAAATATCCTTCTAAATCTCTTTTATTTTAAAAAATGCATCACATTCTGTTATTTTTCTGTCATGAATAAACAGTACTGAGTAAATAAATGTGATATAATAAATATTAAAAATGTACGTATCTGAGACTCAATCTATATCATATTGTAACATGTGTTTTTTAATATATTTTTATTGATTTCAGAGAGGAAGGGAGACGGAGAAGAGAGATAGGAACAACAATGATGAGAGAGAATCATTGATTAGCTGCCTCCTGCACGCCCCACACTGGGGATCCAACCTGCAACCTGGCATGTGCCCTGACCAGGAATCGAACCGTAACCTCCTGGTTCATAGGATGGCGCTCAACCACTGAGCCACGCCGGCCGGGCTCATATCGTAATGTTTTAATACTGACTCTTAATAGGAGAGGAAATGCTTATTTCTCTCTCCCCATATAGCAATGATTATCTCTCTCGAATTCTCATTTCCTAGAACATTTAAATTTCAATATACATAGAAATACCAAAAGTACCAAGCAGGATATTTTAAGTAAATATTAATTTCTTTAGGAGGAAAAAAACTCTAGTGCTTTATCCCGAGATTTGATGAAGCATTGAAAGACTTTGAGGTAGCACAGAAAGCTCTAATTCAGAGTTGATTTTGTGCCCTGGTCCTTGTTGGTCCCTCTGTACCAAGTTACAATTGAACTGGTATTTTTTTAAAAATCACAGAAAACCAGTTTAAAGGCTATATCTCTAAGCTTTTAGGGATGTTTTTGAAAGATTCTATTTTAGAGTAAAAATTTGATGTGTGTTCCCCCTCCCCTTAAATTCTGCTTCAGCAGAGCAAATACACACACAAAAAGGGAGAGAAACACTAGCTAATCTAAATTGGGAAATGAAGAGGGCTTTTTTTAAGCATGAAAATTTCATCATCTTGTCAGCTGGCAGAATGCCTGCTGTGTGGATTCACAAAGGCTAAGAATTACACTTTCATGAAATTTTCCTCACTAACTGCCCTGGTTAATTTGAAAGATAACCCACTGTTCTAATTCATTCCTCAATTGGGCGGTGCAGGTTTTATCTTTGATCTGACAAAGCATTTGTGTTAATCGTTTTGGCCCTCCACTAGACACTCTTGGGATTGTGCTTTTACAATAAATGTGTCTGTGATAGCTCTTTAGTCTATTATACTTACAATAGATCCATAGAACTGGTAATTAATTCTCCACTGCTTTGGAAATGGGAAGAATAGGTGTAGCTCTGTCAAGTGCTGCTAGGAAGTTTGTTTAGCTGGTTCATTTTTGAAGTGTTCCCCTCAGCCATGAAGCAGCCGCGGAAGAGAGTCTGAGATTGGGGTGCTGCCTCCTCTGAAGACTTGTTCATAAATGGGAAATCTGACCCCTATTGGTACCTGGGAGTGGGGTAGTGGGTCATCTACTTTCATCTCAAGTACTGTTATTTATAATGTACAGTGAACCCTCACTTTAATACTTAAAGAGCCATCTGTTTCTAAAGGTGGGTAGTCAACTAAAATATGCTCCTAAACTCCCATTGATGGCTAATACAGGTTTTAGAGTGTTCCAACCAATGGGGCAAATTGGATTCCTCACCAGCCTTGCAGTTTGTAGCTACTTATAAAGGAGTATCACTTAGATCATTTCACTGTGATTTTTTAAACATAGAGATATTCTGGCCTTCCATCTAGAAAAATTGACAGTGGCCCTAGCCGGTTTGGTTCAGTGGATAGAGCATCGGCCTGCGGACTGAAGGGGCCTGAGTTCAATTTCGGTCAAGGGCACATGCCTGGGTTGTGGGCTCGATCCCCAGTAGGGGGCGTACAGGAGGCAGCTGATCAGTGATTCTATCTCAACATTGATGTTTATCTCTCCCTCCCTCTCCCTTCCTCTATGAAATCAATAAAAATATATATAAGAACAAAAAGAAAAATTGACAGTGAACAGCTAGACAGTGCCATGCCTATGATAATCACTGATTAATAGCTAGGACCAGAAATTGGTGGTTGAATTCCTTAGAAATTTACTATTAGTTTTACAGTCTCAG